TTTCCTTTTACAAATATACGTATACGGCAGCTCGAATACCCAACAAGGTTCAGTGTTCTGTGGCTCTTCAATCGAAAAATTATTACATCCGACCAAAAAAAAAAAAAAAAAAGAAAAAAGCTATCTTGTTTATCCTAACAGGTTTTGTTTGGTTTTTCTTGAATTTTGGCTCCTTTTGATTAAGGTTAATAGATGTTTTTAGTTGGTTAAATAATTATTTTATATTTAAATTTATTTAAACATATTAAAAATAAATTTAAAATTAAAATTTTAAAAATAAATTGGTTCAATTCGATTTAAAAATTTTGATTTTAATTCAAATAAATTTTTATAAATTTAAAATATTGTTATGTATTAAAGAAAATAACCCATCTAAATTCAGTTATCATCCTAACAAAAGAATGGCTAAAGTGAGCGTGAAATTAATAGAAATGTAAATAAATAAAGTTTTCAATGAATTATTTGTGAATATATTTGAATTTATTTGTTTATTAAATTTAATAAATGATATTAAATAATATTTTTATATTTATTTATTAAATAAATTGAATATCAATAAAGATTTATTCGTTCATTTATATTTATGAAATTTGTTTATTATTTGTTTGTTATTTATTTATTATTTGTTTATAATAATATTATTAATAAAATTATACTTTTAACCTTTATTCAAATCTTATTTTAAGATTCATTTATATTAGCTTAAATTTATTTATATTCATTTAAGGTTTATTTATTTAAATTTATTTAATTATAATTTATTTATTATTCATAAATATATTTACTTAATATCAATGAATAAATTTATTTAACTTAACTAAATTAAATATGAACCGAAAATGAATCAAATATAAATATTTTATCATTTAAATGAACTAAACTTAAATAAATTAAATAATTTTTTTATCAAATATAAATTAAGTTTAAATATTTTTAAAAATAAATAAATAAATTATATATATACATTGGATGATTCATATTCGTTTACGACTCTATGCGACAGGAACTAAGATGTGAAGTTGTGGCCATCACGTAGTGACACTAATTGGTTCCTTATCTTGTCTACGTAGCCATCACGAAGCCAGTCTACGACTCCATATTATTTCCTCATTATTATAACATTATATCTATATATATATATATATATATTTATATATATCAAGGGGAACATGGATTGCTGATGACTGAGATGATAAGATCGTCCTGTTTGAATTCAAATTGGCAATGACTTTATGCTTCATTCTTTCATATTATTATTAGGATATACTTTAAAAATTAATATTATAAATAATAAAATATATAATACAAATTTTTATAAGAAAATGTGAAGTTGTGTATATACATTATTATATATATATATATATATAGCAGAAAAGCTGAACTTGTTCATGGAATCATGGCAGTAAAGCAAGATGGATTGCTGATGATTGAGAAGATGAGACCTTTCTGTTTGAATTCAAATTGGATAATGGGTAATGATTTTATGCTCATTCTTTCATATTATTATTAGGATACACTTTAAAAATTAATAAATTCATATAACAAATAATAAAATATATGATAAAAAATTTTTTTTTGCAAGAGGTAATTTAAGAATAAAAAAAGAGATATAGATGTTGAAATTTGAATATTAAATTTATTAAATATTATTTTTATGAATGATTATATAAAATAAATTAATTGAGTTAAATTTTAAATTCATATTTGATAATACTTTAATTTTTTTTTGTGAAGTTGAAAATTTTAAATAATTTATTATAATTTGATGATGGTCAAATAATTTGATTGTTTTCTTTGGCAAATGTGTAAAATTGAATACATATAATTGGGATTTAGTATCGTAGAATTAGAGAGAGAGAGAGAGAGAGAGAGAGAGAGAGAGAATGTTTAAAAAATATTATATGATTTGTTGTTTTATGCGAAATGGCAAGTTTGAATTTTACATGAAACAAAAAGGTAAAAGATAAGAAAGAAGATAAAAAAAAACAACGATGGGTAGGAAGTGAAGAGTTAATAATATATGTTAAAATAATTTAATAATATTAAAATCAATTTTAAAATTAAAAATCTCAAATTCAAACCTTATTTATAGTTCAAAATAACAAAAAAAATTTATAATAATAACAATAAATTAAATAACTAATGTATATATAATGACAGTTGAATTATAAACTCAGCAATTTAATTTTTAATTTCTATGCAATATAATTTTTATTATTATTTTTTTTTATATAAAAAATTTATGATAAATAAATTATTCAATCTTCAAATAAAAATAAGATATATCATACATGATAATTTAAGATAAATAATTATAAATCGTATATTCAAAATGATCATAACAAACGATCATCGATAAAATTTAAATTTAAAATTTTTTTATTAAAAAAGATGAATTTTAAATAATTAAACTAATCTTTATCATTATAATTTTTATTCACTTTAATGCAGTAGTTGAAAAGTTGACATCACACATATAATTTTGTCTTAGCCTTCTCTTTGGTGAAATGAGTTGGGTTTCCTTCTGTTTTTGTTTTTAAACTGAAATTGGAAAAGCATTGGATTGATGAGGTGATTCAAATTGAAAACCTAGTATGTTTCTTAACTTCATTTGTCTTCTAGCCTGCTATAAATGCCCTCCACGATGTGGGATCTATGGGACAAGTGTCATACACAAGAAGTCGAGAATGAGAGGTGAAACTATTTCTTAAGTAGGTGGGGTTTGGTAATTTAGACTAGTAATTCTCAATCATTTAGTGTCACATGTCTTCTCAAGGTATGGTTGATTGAAGATTTAATTATTGGATTATAATCTTACTGTTGTTGTTTCACCATTGGTCGCTTTGTTCTGAGCTTTCGATACTTCCATTGTTCACAAATTGACGTGACATTCTGTGGTAAAAAATCCTCTTGATTTTCTTTTTTATGGGTTAAGCGGTAAAAAATTCTTAAACTTCATCTAGATCAAAGATTTGTAGTGTTTTTTTTTTTAAACCACAATGATGATCTTAACGGTAAAAGTGAAAAAAAAAATCGTTTGAAATTATAGCTTTTAGTTAGATTTGGATTGATTTTTTTAAATTTGATTCAAAATAAATTTAAAAATTAAATGTATATATTAAATTTAAATTAAAAAATTAAAAAACTGAAAAATATCAAATCTAATTAAAAAATATATTTTTATTAATTTTTATGTAATTGTTAAATTTTTATATCAAAATCTATCTAAATATATTAAAATTTTATATTAAGATAATATAAAAAATTAAAATTTAAAAATAAATATATAAATCAAATCAAATCATATAAAATAATTATTTAAATTCAAATCAAATTTTAAAAATTTATATTATTATATATTATCTAAAAAATTAAATTAAATTCAATTCAATTTAAATCTTATCACCTCGAATGCATTAGTTTGATAGTTGGAGTTAGAGTTGTGCTATGTCTTCAGGCCCATATTTTATGCATATTAGACAAATGAATCTCATGATGAAAAGGCCCAACTCTACCTAAAGATAAGAAAATGGTGTAGAAAGTTTGGGTCAGGGATTTTGGTCCACATCCACTCTTGGCCTAATGGGCCTGTGTTTTGTGGTATATGCTAAATTTTATCCAAGATGTTTGTTTCTATTTATTAAATATTGCAGTTTTATTGTAATTATTCAACAAAATTTTAGTGCAAATGAGAGATTCAAGGCTCCATTTTGAGAGTTAATCATATCTATGTCCACCCCCTAGTCCTCTTGACATGGATACTTATATCCAATCGAATTTTAATAGATAATCAATTTGAATTTCAAAATTTTCTTTTAAAATCGTCTTTAAAGATTGAATTGATGATAATAAATTATAATCCGAAACTGATTTTAATCGTATATGCAAATATTCTTTGGTTGTTGAATTTTTTGGTAAGTTCATCATCTTAAATTCATAATTTGAGCTACTTATGGTTGTTCGATTCTTGTGATTTTCCCTTTTGTTTTCAGTTAAAAGTAAAAATGTCTTGCATCAGAACAAGTTTTCTAAATCTGGTTAAAACAAGAACTTCGAGAACTAGCTTGCAGCCAGAGAGAATCAACATAAACAAATGAACAGGAAAGCTGGCCTTAATTAAGTTGCACTTATAAATGCTATGCCTTGTCAGAAGATTAAGTTGAAGATCTGCATCTGGTAAGGCATTTTACCAAAACCCACGTGTGCTAAAAGGCGCACCACTGCTGCTTTCATATGCCAAAAACGTGAGCTAGGTTGGCATCTCCAGCTTTTAAATCAACAACAATGGCTTTCAGCCTGTGAATTCCCCCATTTCCATCATATAGAAGAACCTTTAGTCTATCTCTTTAATTTATAAATGCTTGTACTTTAATTGTACGTACATACTCGTACACACATACATTCTTGCAACTCTAGCATACATGCACCTATCCATTTCCTTGAAAAGAAGTGTTTTAATATCTTCAAAAGCCAAGACTCGAGCCGGTTGGTTCCTATATAAATCCTTCAATATTCAACAGATCTGAAATTCAAAAAATGCCGGTTGATTCATATATAAAGCACTCCTAAACTTTCAGAAAAATTAATGTATAGGTCTTTGTTTAATTTTAAATGCTAGCCAGACTTTGTCAGTAGTTCCTTTTACCTCATTACCATGAAGATTCATTTATTCCCCACACTACTAGAAATCTTGGTTTGCTTTATTATTGTATTATATTTTATTAAACATAAAAGCCTCTTTCATACTTCAATGCACCTCGTTCCAACCTGTTTATAAAGAATTAAGAGAAATCTCTATTGAACAATGAGTCATGTGTCCCAGCCATATTGAAGCAAAAGAAATTGTGGTGCCAAGGAAACCATGTAGATCATGAGTTCATTATAGATAAATCCCATACTTGTTTCTAACCAAAATTATGACTTGATCTCATATGCAAGAAATTCAATATCATCCACTCATGGGATTCTTTATCTTTCTCTTTGTAGCCCTGTACTTACCAGATTTGAGATATCTGAATCCTTCACCAGAAGGAATCAGAAATCTTTTTGTTGGTGTCGAGTTCTAACCTCAAAGGCAAAGTCCTGAAATCACAGGAGAGAGAGGGAGCGATTAAAGATAAAGGTAGAGAGTGTTCTCTGTTTGTATTCCTACTTAAATCAAATATTGATATAAAACAAGTCGGAAGGAGAGAAAAAGTAAGAATGTAAGAGTCGAATGAAATGAAGGATAGTACCCCTAACACTTTTCTTTAACAAAAGCATATAATATATATGCCAATCTTTTCAGTCTTATGACTAACGATGGCATCTTTGACAAATGGTCTTGAAAACTGAAGAAGAATTGCTCGAATTTTTGAGCAGGCCAACATCAATAATGCTTGGTTAGCCTGTTAAAATTGACCCTGAAGTTAACTGATCCCCTACATAAATCTAGCAAGCCTTGCCACTTTGTCCGACATATTTCCTGGTGAATTCATCATCTTCAGCTCCTGTTTTGACCAGAAGTATACCGTTTCTCAAAGTTTAAAGAATCAATTAAAGTGGCATTGAAAAGAAAATGTGGGAATCAGCAATAAATAGTAATCTGAGACTTGTTATCAGCAAATTAAGCTCCAGTATTTCACTGTGAGGCGTTCGTTATCTCATTTTTCAGATTCAGCTAATCCAGAATAGCAGAGCAAGAATTCAGTCATCCTATGTCAGATTTGCAAGCCATTTCTCTTCTTTTATTGAATACACAAGCACGTCTCTGCCCTTTGTCTTTTATCATGCATTCATGCCCCCATTTCCCATGTCCTACACTAGCCTCCTTTTACAGTTCTAGTGGACAACGTGTCTTCTACTAACAGAATCATGGCAGGAAAAGCTAAAGATCTTAACAAAACCCCACTTTCCTTCTAGTCCGCCCGCCAGAAAAAGAAAAAAAAGCATTATGTTTAAATATGAAATAAGAAACTATGCCAAATGTGCCTTTTAATCGTATGCTGGAGAGTGATGCATGGTAAAATAATTTAAGTGAATGGCAGGTGGAACTTGGTAGATTCAAAATCATCAATTGGTAGGGGAAAAGTGGAGCTACCCTAGCAAATAAAGTAGCCAATAAACCTTCACATCCCCATGGCTTTTCAAAAAGTAATCTTCCCATAACAAAAAAAGAAAAAGAAAGCAACATGTGGAGGAAAAAACTTTCCGAAATTTACCTCCTTTTCCCCAACAATATAAACCAGTGAGTGTAATGCTTTAGGGTCAGTCAGATGGAAATAAACCACATCACATGTTCTTTTCAATTTTCCTCTGAACTATTTCCCAATTTCTCCTGGTTAAGTCTCTAACCAGATGATGGAGTGAGCTCTTTTATAGAAATACTACCCTCAACTCCCATTAACCCCTCTTGTACAAATAGAAAATGGATCCTATCGTGATGCAAAAGTTTCAAGCCATCAAGAAATTCAAGAAGTCTAAGAAGCAGCAGCTTCTGGACAAATTTTTTCTCTATACATTCATAGCATTTACTTGTAGCATGTTCTGTTCCAGCCCTTTTTGGCTTCCCTACTTGTTTTCCTCAATGAAGGGTTTTCTCTTCATCTCTCTCCCAAAAATGGGTTCTATCTCACACTGCCCCAAACTGTTGTTCCTTGTAGGCAACCTAATTATTGCTGTTCTCATTGGAGAATCCAAGTATTTTGCTTCAGGCCCTTCTCTTTCCGGGGATGCATACTATGATGAGTTCGTTGATCGAAGTAAATGCCCTCGAAATTCTTCTACCCTGGAAGTGAAGAAAGAGAAGAAAATGAAACCTTGCCTGGTATCAGTAACAGGAAGACTAGTTGAGGAAACTAGAGAAGTAACGAAGCAAAAAAATGATTCAGTGGGAGAACATGAGCTTATTTTGCCTACTAAGGAATTGAAGAAAAGGGCTGATGATTTCATTGCAAGGGTCAACAGGCAAAGGAGGATCGAAGCTGAATTACTTCTTGAAGGCAATTATGCAAATAATTATATGGGGTTACAGGCCAAGGTCTCCACGCCAGGAAGGACATAGCAAGAAGATCTTGAACCTCTCTGAAGCAAAGACAGATTAAAATTAGCAATCCAAACCTGGTCCTGTTAAATCGATCACTGTAGTTGAATGTTTGAAAACTTTATCCATGTATGCCAGATTTACATTTTAGATTGAGATGATCAATAAACTTATCCCGAAAAGGATAAACCATTTTTAGTGGTTGGTTGATCAGTTTCTTGCAATATTATATATCACAGATCTTTCAGATTTTGAATTCTGAATAATTTTATTTGGGTCTTGCAATTAGGATCAGTTGATAAGATTGAATAACAAGAATGTATCCTAATATATCGTGTGGGAAATCACAACCAAAACCCAGATAGAGTCCATTTTCTGGCAAACTTGAACAGTCCCCATGGTAGCTAAATGTTGTATTCCAACATCTTCAAAATTAAGACAAGGCTTTATTCCAAGTCATCTCAATATGAAATGTCTCGATTATACATCGATAATGTTAATAAAGAGTGAGATTTATTAGGATAAAAATACTTAAAATTTTTATTATAATTGTTGAGTTCATGGACTTACCAAAGTAATTAGGTAGCCACCAAGAGAAGAGAAAAGCCAGCCTTTACATTAGGTTAGGCTGCTCTCGCCATTACTTTAGGTTGCGGCAGTCACCACAGAAGCTAACGGCGCCAGCTCCCACTTGCATGGCGGTCCATGCCTAAACCACTAAGTCAATTAAATATCTAATTATCTAAAGGTAGAGTAAAAAAAGATAAGTAGGGTGTTCGTTTCATTGGTTCGATTAATTTTGAATTGAATTATATTATTTTATTTTTGTTAATTAAATTAAATTATTTAATTTTTAAAATTAATTGACCAAAATTAATTTGATCAGTTTAATTATTTTTTTGGTTAATTAAATAATAGAATATATTAAATTATATTATATTTTAAATTCTTAATTTTTTATACTTAAAATAAATTAAATAAAATCATTTAATAAAAATATTCAAATATCAAAATATTATACTAAAAACTTTAATAACTTGAAATAAAATAAGTAATTTTATATATTTTTAGTTTTATATATAAGTTTTATTATATTTAGGTTAAAATTTCGATTGATTTGATTTTCAATTAAATTAATTGAAAATAAAAATTTTTTAAAAATTATTTTTAATAATCAATCGAAATTAATTTAATGACCATCCGATTAATCAAATTAGATCAATTTAATCGATTAATTCGATTAAAACTAAATTTTCAACACTCCTAAATGTAAGTCACTCAATCTCTCACATTATAACAAGAGGTGTTGTATTCTACAAAAATCATGAATTCCACATTGATGCTAACAAAAATCAACTGTACCTAAAATTCGAACCTCAAAACAAATAAATTAACGTATCAAGCAAACTTTTGTTAATCACTTCATTTATTTCACAAATAGTAATAACATCTACAGGCGGCGGCAGTCCCTATTAGAAAGGCTGGATCGGTTGGCAATTAATTAGTTGTTCTAATTCTAACCTCTGCCCTCACTAAACAATCCATATATTATGTATTCTTCCGTTTTCATTTGGGCACAGATCGAGGAGATAACTTGTGTTTCTCTACTGTTCTTGAACTGGTCGTCAACGCTATGGAAATCAACAAATTGTTGAACATTGTCTTTCCCCCTCTAATAGTAATTGCCCTCGTTTTCATCTTTCCACCTTTTCTTGTTTTCAGGCTTCTTTGTTCCATTCAAAGGTTTGTGTTCAAAGAAAACGTGGCTGGTAAAGTGGTACTCATCACAGGAGCATCTTCAGGCATTGGTCAGGTTTCGTATCCTGAAGGCTACCAGCTTCTCCACTCGATTTCATGGATTAACATATGTCTATGGAGTTGCATGTTATTATCTTGTTTCACGATTTTTGCAGCATCTTGCTTATGAGTATGCTAAAAGGGGAGCTCGTTTAGCCCTCGTAGCCAGAAGAACAGATCGTCTTCAAAAAGTAGCTGATGAAGCTCGACAGTTAGGGTCCCCTGATGTAATTGTGATCACTGCCGATGTATCCAAGATTGAGGATTGTAAGCGATTTGTTGACAAGACAGTGAACCACTTCGGACAGTGTAAGCCACATCTATCTTTAGTTCTATGCTCAGATGGGTGTTTTTTATGGATATTAGACCTGACTTTATTAACTGATTTGTTCTATATATATCCCAGTGGACCATCTGGTGAACAATGCTGGGGTTGCTCATGGGCAACAGTTTAAAGAAATGAGCAATATAGCTGATTTTGTCCCTGTCATGGTATCCCCATATGATTTGCTTATATTTCTTTCTATGTTTTAAACGTAGACATCATTTTAGCTTTGAATCCTTTAATCACATATATTTGTGCCGAGTTTCAAGCTATGGGGTAAAACTCTAGAGTCACGAGTGAAAGAAAAAGAAAGGTAAGTAGTATTCTCTAAGTTGTGCTCCAATACTCAAAATTCGGCTGTAGGAGGTCAGAAGGAGAATAAAATAAAGAAAGTAAAAGAAAGCAAGATGATTAAATAATAGCTAGATGATCTAGGTGAGAAGTCTGTAAGGTAAATTGGTGACGTAACCGAGTTGATGTAACACTGAAAATAATAAGCTAACCTATTAGGTCAAATTGATTCAAAAGTAAAAGATATCTCTAGCTGTTTATTGACAATAACCATTTTACTTTTTGGGCCCAAAAATACCCCTAACAACATCAATATATTAAATGAATAAAATCCATCAATATGATGAGACTCGAGCCATTTTTAGATTATCCACTGTGTTTTCACCTAGCTAATTGTTTAAATGATCATTATGATTAATGTCAACTGGCAAATTTAATACATCCCCAGCTGGCCACAATGGACCAGTTTGAATGTAGGCCAACATCATTCCAGTTAAAATTTTGTTTCTTTTGCAGGACATAAATTTCTGGGGTTCAGTGTATGGTACTCATTTTGCAGTTCCACACCTAAGAAAAAGCAGAGGGAAGATTGTTGTGATGTCTTCAGCTGCTGGATGGCTCTACCCACCAAAAGCTACCGTCTACAGCGTAAAGAAATTCCTTCTGTACATGTTGAATCTGGTTCCCATTTCTTATTAGCTAACTGATCACTTCTTAAAAATTGCAATGGCTTCAGGCAAGCAAGGCAGCTCAAATAGGTTTATATGAGTCATTGAGAGTTGAATTGGGTCCAGAAATTGGAATAACCATTGTTACTCCTGGGTATGTTGACTCAGAAATGACCCAAGGCGTTCATTCAGCAAGGGTAAGGCCTGAAGGAAGTAATTTGAGAATCTGATACATATGATTAACCTCCTATACTCCCATATACAATTACATACGTATATTTTATGATTTGTCAGTTATGTTAAAGTGTGTAAATGATCCAATGCTGAGCTAGCATCTTTCTCATTCCTTTGAATTTGATTGCATATCAGGCTAAACTCCAGTTCCTGAAAAATGAGCCGACGGATGTCTGTGCCAAGGCAATTGTTGAAAGCACTTGCCGTGGAGATATGTACCTGACAGAGCCATTCTGGGTGAGGCCATTGTTTCTGCTAAAGGTACTTTATCCTGAGCTGTGGGACTGGACTTTCTACTGGCTCATCGTCCATGGACGAACGACTTTGGATAAAAAATTATAGCCTGAGTAGCCTAAATTGGGAAGAAAAACCCTGTTTCAGCTGTCTGCCTTCGGATAAAAGAGTTGGTCCTCTACCAAACAGGCTCTTAGGAATCATGCAGGTGGAGCTTTTCCTCCAGATAGATAAGGGATTACTTTTGTTCTAGTGTAAAACCAGCAATTAGTTTGGTTTATCAGTTTAGTATCTGTATTCAATAAACAAATTCTCTCGGGCTTTATGGAAACTAATGCATATATACATGCATGTAGCTACCTATATTACAGGAATCCAGGGGAATAAGAAGAGTTGAAACTTTCTTTTTCAGGAAAGATAACTGGGTTTTTTTTTCCCTAAAAAAACCTCTTTATTTGTGAGCCTCTTTGTAGAAAATAAGATGGTGGATTGACGGCCTACCTACACTCCTTTCATTCTAAAGGATTAAAGTTTAAACTGTTAGGAATATGTTCAATTCCTTTCAAAAGTTGAGTTCTAAAGCAAATTGAGTGAACGAGCAATAAATTTACATGTGGGCTGATCAAGGTCGACTTATGTTTGGATCAGATGGCATGAGATTTTTATTAGCGCTCAAAGATTGTGGGTTTGAACGAGTTCATGTTCCTAATGTCCTCTTCAAATAAATATAAAAGGTAGGAGGATTAGATGTAAATTAAATTTAAAAAAAAAAAGAAAGATATGCCTTGAAAACATGGTATAAAGGAAGCAGATATCAGTTGGAATTATATAACAATCCTTTCAGTTCAATCTTACTAAAGCCGGGGGCAGAATAAATAAAAGAGACACTATCCGACAGAGAAGAGCTCTTGGCCAACAAGAAAACACGAAACAGATACGTGTTGAATTCCCCACATGCAACACTGTCACGTTGCAAACAGCCAGAGCCTTCAAAGCGATGAAAATTTATAGTTCCACCCTCTTTGATCACAAGCTCTAGTGTCTATGTTTAATACCTTCTCAATAATATTCCGTAGAAGCTATGGATTTGATCGATAAGTTGATGAATGTTATCATTGCTACTATATCCATTAGTGCATTCTTCTTCTTCCTTCATCATTATCGTTTTGTCAAGTCCCTCATCTCCACAGCAAGAAACGTGTTCATGGAAAATGTGGCAGGAAAAGTGATACTCATCACTGGAGCATCCTCCGGCATTGGCGAGGTTTGGTTTGAACCAACCCTTGCTATATGACTTCTCTATAACGTACTACAACTTCTTTTTTAATGTTTCTGATTTTGTGGTTTTGATACATCTCGCATACGAGTATGCTAGGAGAGGAGCTCGTTTGGCCCTTTTTGTCACGAGAGAACAGCGTCTAGAAGAAGTAGCTGCCATTTGTGAGATCATTGGCTCCCCTGAAGCTGTTTACATCCTTGCAGATGTGTCCAAGATTGAAGACTGTAAGCGGTTTGTTGATGCCACTGTAAACCACGTCGGTCATTGTAAGCACAGAACAAGAAGATTTGACTTTTTTTGTCCTTTTTCCAGGGAATAATCTTTGAAAATAGTGATTTTTAATCATCCTGGGGTCATTTTTCATGCTACCAGTGGATCATTTTTTCACTAATGCTGGGGTTGCTGCGGTTTGCTTGTTTGAAGATTATGATGATATCACTAAAGCTTCACCAGCTATGGTAATCAAGCATAACATTCTTTTACCAGGATTGGCCTGAAATTCTCTCCCTTTCAGATGAATTAACACCTCAATGAGTACAATTCAATGAATCCTGTGTTCACGAATTTCCTTGCTGCAATTTTCATGGGACATAAACTTCTGGGGTTCGGTATACAGTACCTATTTTGCACAGCAACACCTGAAGAAGAGAAAAGGGAAGATCATAGTAATAGCATCATGCGCCGGATGGTTATTTGCACCAAGAATGAGCTTCTATAATGTAAGAAATCTCATCAGAATCTTATTTACATATTAAATTTTGAGCTATTCTAATTCACAATTGGCCTAAAGGCAAGCAAAGCAGCACTCATTAGCTTTATGAGAGAATGAGGATTGAATTTAGGATTCAAATTGGAATTACAATTGTGACTCCGGGTTTGATCGAGACACAGATGACAGAAGGAAAATTCCTATCCAAGGAAGACAAATTGGAAGTAGATCGAGAAATGAGAGACGTAAGCATTCTCTTAAATGCGACAATCCAGGTTTTCCTGAATCCTGATCACTTACTAATTAGTTGCTTCCAGGTTCAAGTCAGTGTGATGCCATTAGAGTCGGTAGATAAGTGTGCCAAGGCAATAGTTGACAGGGCCAGCCGTGGGGAGAAATACTAGACGGTGCCATCTTGGGCCAAGGCGACTATCCTCTGGGAGGTGTTTTGCCCTGAGATAATAGATTGGTGGAACCGCTTGCTGTTAACGTCCAGACCTGGATCTTCCCACGCGACTGCACTTAGCAAGAAGATACCCGATTTGGCAAGAGTGAAGAAGTTTTTTTCTCTGGATGGGAGCCTGGTGTCCTAAGCCTTGGAAATACATGGGTTGCAGCAGAAAGTAATAAAGTTAGATGCTTAAAACAGGGCAAAGCTTAGACTCCAGGGTGGAAATTCCTTTGTATGTTTGGAAACATGTATTTGCATTTATAGGAGTACAATGGGGTTTTATTGAAAATCTAACAAATTAATGAAGTTAATTGTAATCATTAAAGTTGTTTTCGTAAGTTCTGTTAGACAATTTATATATTTCAACTCCAAATCCCTCTTTTCCAATTCAATTTTAAGATGCAACCTTGATATCTTCGATGCTCTGTCTCTTCATTGGTCTTCTAACACTTTGCAATCCGGATTTTCTCACCAGTTTCTTAGCAAAATCTCTCCTTCAGTCCTTCGGTTTCGGAAAGAATTCAAAGAAAATCCTGGAAGCACCATGAATGCTTGATTTCCAGATTGGACTGTAATGTGTAAGCAAAGTAATCATGATCTGCAATTGGGATCATGCAATCCAATTTGAAAACCACAGGGCAAGTAGCAAATTCTTCTAACACTGGTTCCAACATCTAGCAGACATGGTCCTAATATGCAAGCCAATCAAGGGGATATGTCTATGGGATCCAATGGCAGGTGCTCTGGAGTTTGAGAAGAAGCAGAAGGCTTCAATCTTCTAAGAAGCAACCGTGCATCAGATGCAGGGCAGCCCTGAGTCATCTCCATGGCAATTGGAAGAGAAGATGTTTTGTTAAACTCTACAAGCACCATTCCCTGCACAAGACATTTGTGCACATCATGAAGTACCCAACAAATAAACCCACCATAAAGTTACTAATACTTCTCAACGTTTAAGACCATTTCAGCATTTACAGGGAGTCATGCCTCCTAAAAATGACTACATCTTGGCATCTATTTTTTTTTTTGGGTCAACTCATGAAAAATGAGAGTAAACTCATAGTTGATTAGTAGTTGAAGTTTGACCTGTTTTACCTCAAAATGTGCTAAAAATGACTGGAACTGCCTCATAGTCTCCTTCATACCACTAACTATTTGTTTGTCTGAAGAAGAAAGAGCAGCAGTGACCCCTTGCGGTGAATGACCTATTCCTTTCTGCACAACCTGGAATTCAGAAATACTAACAGATTAAGTTATCAAATTCAAAGCTCCTACAAGCTATAGGGGTTGTTGGTAAAAGGCCATAAGCCCTAAGAGTGAATGATTTTAAAAAAAGAAAAAAAATTAAGGACTAATGCAAATTAGCAAGCCATTGGGCCCCCGGAGAATGTATCTCCAACTTGCTTTGCAAAATCCATCTTACGAAGCTTTAGCATGAATTTACATTGTGATCAATGAGGACCTCGGAAATGAGGCTGCCATCATCAACATAACACTGTAGCTCATAAGTTGTCCTTTGCTTATACTGGAATCCCTTTACACCAGTCAAGAAGCACTGCAAAAAATTTTTGATAAAATTAAGATATATATAAGATAACACAGAAAAATACTTCAAAAAATATTAGATAGTAGGAATTGTTATCTCTTGTTAACTCAGTGCTGGTGAAACCAACCAAACATTATGATGGAAGGCATTCTCAGCTAATCCTGTCTTATCCATTTTAGAAAAGCTAAAAAGTTAGTCACCAAAGATTAAAACAATATAAGAAAGAGAGAACTATGGATACCTTAATTTTTCCCTGTACATATGTAGCTTTATCTTTAATAGCAACCCACTTGGCTGACAAACTAGCTAAGTAGGTAAAGGGGACTTCTCGGTGTCCGGACAGTATAAGAGGATGTTCAACAGCATCAACCATATGGATTTGCTCAACATCTGGGGCACTATTGGAGTTTGAGTTTGACACAGAATTTTCCCTGCTAATGGGAACACTATCAATATGCATCCTCTCAACATCCAAAGCAACATCGGATGATGAATTAGGCATGGGATTCACCCCACCCATATGAACAGTAGGATCCTCTAGAGTTCTTTGAGTAGTAACAGTGCTAGATGAAACCAAAGTAGCACCTACAGTGCATGAATATAGGAAAAAGAAGTGTCATATGATCAATCTAATATGCTCTCAAATTCGCTAACTAATCTTTATACAAATTCAAATGCTATCAAGATTCGGTTATACTAATTCATTAAGTGTAGCATATAATTTTAGACAAATGATGCAACATTATAGGCAAAAAGATTAAGGTCCATCAACTAAAAGTAGTTAGAACAAATACAAGCAGAAGAATTCTCTCATTTTATGAACAATGAATGTCAATATCAAGTTCTTAAACTCAAGTGAACCACTAAAGGATGGTCTTCAGAGTTCATATATTTAACCTGCCTGCCATTGTCAAAGAAATGGCAGAAAGAAAGAAGTGTGGAGGAAATTAAGAGGGAAAGATTCTCTTTTATCCCACTAATTTCCACCTCATTTTCTGTTCTAGAGGACTTCCCAAGATTACTATACTTAAAAGAGGTATTAATCACTATTTCCCTTCAAAACTACAGTTATAACAAACATATACAGAAGCCATTTTTATGCTATTTGTATATTTATTTGTATTATTTTCTCTTTGGAAAGTAAAACTCCTTGCAATTGATTTAAAAAACAAACAAATAACTAATCAACCTCTTTCATCTGCCTGAAAGGGAGCTGCATTTTGTGATGTCAAACTGTTAGTGGGCTCAACAGCATTAACACCGTTCCGTGGCCATGCAGCAAGAGTTGCTCTACTTGCTAAAGGAGGAACCACTCCCGTCTTTGTTCTGCATAAGATGGATAGAAAAGGTGATTCATAACAATTAAAGATTCACGATTCAAATAACTTCTTGGGGATCATAAACTGATTTATAAGCAGTAAGACCATTTCCAAATTTCAAAAGAGTTTCAGAGTAATTACATTCCGGTGTCATTCAATTTGTTTATCCATGCAAACATTGTGAAATAATGCAAGCATCACCAATAGTATGGTCAGTAATTATCTTCCCAGCATTTATCCATTTTAGGAAGTTGCAACTAAGGCATTCTGAATTAGAGAGTCAAAGCTCCTAATTGTAAACCCTTTAAGGGCAATATCTTTTTGATTTTGGCTGTTACAACATGACAAACTAAAGCAAAACTACAATAATGGAGTTAAGTATGTGGCAATTTGCAGGGCCAGGGGGGGGGGGGGAGGATAACATTTGGTACTGCATGTGAAAAGCAATGATAGATACATTCTTGAAATTCAATGATACCTTTTACCCCTAGGTGGCTTGTTTACTTCGTTAACAAGACGCTGTCGTGCTGCTTCTAAGTCCTCAACCACTCCCCCTAGAACTTCTAAACCTTCAGGGACCAGCATAAGAAGCCCACGTCGTATGTGTATATTACAGATGGCAACCTACAGAATGAGAGATAGCCTTTCAACATCAAAGCTTTAGAGACTAATAGGTTTATAGGTTTTTTTTTTTTTTGGTTGACATGAATAAACTTTCAAGTGGTAAACCTAGCAAAAATATGGGCTAATATAGGTGTTGTACCAAAACTAAAAGGATAAAGTGACCTTGCCCAACAAAATCAGCAATTCTGACAGCAACTCATTGCTAGAAATGGTAATGAATCATTTGACTGGTCAACTAATTGAAAGGGAAAAAAATAATAGACCACAACAAACATATCAAGATAATATATTGGCAAACAGTGTAAAAGAAACTCTTTCTCAGGAATAGAGATTCTGATGAACCATTTGCATTTTATGAAGTACAGGTATTCCTTTCTTGACATGAATTGATGAGACAGCATAGCTTGTCTTCAAGTAGTCATACAAACAACTTAAAGCCCACTTCACATATCATCACCCTGTGTATAGATATGAAGAGATATTAAAAAGATCCAAACATGACCACAAAAATCATCTTATTGTTCTGTCATAAATACAGATACCAAAAGGCCAAAGCCATCAAGAATCAAGATGCCATTGAGTTCAATTTCAGGCGTTGGATTTCAAGGAAGAACATGCTACTATTGGTGACCCTTATCAAATGCACTCTCTATAAAAATGGTATAAACAGGAACTATACAGCCCGTAGATTTATCTCAAACATAGTAAAATCATCAATAATAAAACTAGCATTCCCTATTAGTAATACCATTACAAAAAAAGACACTGATAGCACTAGAGAAGAACCTTTAGTCCAGCAGGAGCCAAAACTTGGAGATCTTTAATAGGCCTGTATTCCATTCCAAATACGCGTTGAACACCATCTGTCATGGATAATTTAAGGCACCTCTTGATCCCAGAAGGCGCATCCTGATACCTTCCCTTTAGTGGACAACTGATATTTACTATCTCATCAACCTAGAAACACAATAATTCAACATGAGCAAACATTTGCAACATCAAAACACCCATTTCTCAAATAATAAATTAGAGCTCTATAACGGTATAACCACCAATATTCATATCCAAAATTGAGACAAAGAAAAAAATTAGCCAAAATAAACAGAAAATGGATAAATAAATAAATAAAAGGAGCGAACCTGCAAGACGAAGGGTCCTTTGAGATCAACAAGATGCATGGAATCGACATTCTCGGGAAGAACACCGCCGCCAGAATAATTCATATCAGAAATCAAGAACTGTTGAAAGCAAAGCTTCGCTTTTTCAGAAACATCGAGAGTCGAAAACCTAGGGACCGAGCTCTCCAGCCCTTGAACGCAAGAATCCAGCCACTCTCTCCTCAATTTGAGACCTATTCTTAAAAGAAAGTCTCCAATCGGAGAGCCAGAGCTCTCCACTGATGTAACCGGAACCGCTGTTTCCTCCGCCATAGGAGGAGAGGGAGGAGTGAAGCTTTCAGAGACATCGACGAAATCGTCGTCGGAGATTAAGAGTGGTTCGGCGGGGCTAAGGTTAGGAGGAGATAGAGTTACGGGTTGGTGAGTGACGGCTGAGTTTTCCTGTCTAGGTTCGTTTTCGAGTTCTTCTTCTTCATCGGAGGAACAGGTTAGTCTTAGGCATCTTCTTGCCATTGATGTTTAGGGTTCTAGGGTTTTTGGATTTTCCCTCCACCCAAAAAACAGTGCTTTTTGAAAGGTTTTTTTTTCATTTTTGGGGAAGTGGCGGGAAAATGGCTTCAATGGGGACCCACCGAACTTTTCTGCCCTTGTTAGAATGGGCCTGCCCAATTTATTTGTTTAGGCCCATATAGAAGTGGCTGAATGGAATCCAATTAATTGTATTTGGGCCTATTAAAAAGCTTAAAATTTTTTAATTTAAAAATTATTTTTTTTATTTTTATATAATTTTTTATTATTCTAAAATTATCAAATCTAGTTGAGTTCAAGGTTTTTCAAGTATATTTTTCAAATGGAGTTTGATTTTTTTTCTTTTAGGCCAAGCAAACCAAGTTTGATGACTTTAATTAGAGACAACAAATCAAATCACAAATTTTATTCATATCAAAATCCATATCATTTTTTATTTTGTATTTAGGTGATTCAAATTTGAAATTAAAATAGCTAATAATCTAATACTAATTAAATGTGTTACTTAAACATATATTTCTTTTTAAAAATGGTTGAATCTTGAATTTTGAATTTAATTTAATTTAATTAATTCATATAATATATTTAAAATATAATATTTAATAAATTTAGAGTTCAAATCAAATGTATCCAATATTGAAATTTTTATCTCCAAACCTTTGATTTAGTGATTAAAAGTATTGAAAGGGACATTAAAAGTTTGATTTCGAGTTAAGCTTCCCTCTCTCTTTTTATTTGTATTAAGATTTTATCCTTACAATGTAACAAAAAAAATATATATTGAAGTCCTCGTAATATAAATGCAACTTAGAAGTGGGGCATTGGTGGGCTCGACTAAATGAAATACCATGAGGACAAAATTTATATGAAATTTTTTAAAAATAATTTAATAAAAACTTTAATAAAAAATTCAGATTGATAGAACTTAATGTAAAAATCAATATGTAAAAAAATCATTAAAAATATTATTTATAATTGAAATTTGATCGATATTTATTCAATGATAAAAATTTTGTCAATATTTTTACTAAAATTATCTATCTAAAAACTATATCAAAATTTATTTAAATTTTTAAAATTTTGTACACTTGAATTTATGTAACAAAACTTTTTAATCTATTATTTTTTATTTTAAATTTTAAATTTTATTTTATTGTTTCTGATAAAAAATTTTAAGAACTTTACTTAAAAAGACTTTATCTAAGTTTTAAGCATAATTGCAAAAAGTGGCTGGCGGCCTGGCCTTTGTGCTCGTTCCAGATTGGCAGATGGATCTGAAAATCGAACACCTACACATGGAGATAACAATAACATTGCACCTGGTTCAAACCAAGCCTTGAGCTTTGATTGGTTGAGCCTTCACTAATCCTGGAGAAAAGTGGCCGATACCCCATTTTTGGTGGATTATTCAGAAGTAATCACAGAATACTATAATAGTTTTCATCTCCACTCTTGTTGTCTCCCTGTAATTTTATAGGTTTATAATGTGACCCCCTCTGGAACTGTATTCTGCCTTTAAATATGTAAGATATGCTGTTTCTGTTGCAAGCAGCCAAAATTTAGTAGCTTCAAGAAATAGAAAAGAGAGAGAAAAATTTTTGTGGGGGGAGCAAAGGCTTTAAGTTTCCAATGGAGGCTAAAGGAGTAAAATTCGGGCTAATGTTGGTGGTAGCAATGATGCTGGTGTTCTTGGTTTTGGGTCGAAATCTTGTGGAAGCTGCATTTGGGATCCATGCACACTCCCTCAGTGCATTGCTGAATGCAAAAAAGCACTGCAGGAGAAATTCCTCGGTCGTGAAACGGGTGCTTCAGGGTCTCAAGGGAAATTCTGCATCGGCTTAGGCTGGTTGACAATTTAATGTTAGACGGGAAATATTCATTCCCTCTGTGTTTGCTTAATGGTTCAAGCATAAGAAAGAAAAATTATATGCAGTAAATAAGGAGAGAACCCGAGATTTAGTCCGCTGGTTAATGTAGTCGTCTTTTAAGAGCTAGCATGAAGCAAGTTTGAAATTTAAATTTCATCACTTATGATCTCTTCCTTTATTACCAAGTTACTATCTCTTTTGTAAAAAAGAAATACATTAAAGGAGAGAAATTTGAAATGTGAAGTTCATGCACCTGCACTTCTTTGTGCATACCGATTATTTACAAATAGTTAAATTTTAAAAATGGAAATGACTTTATAAGATATGTGGATTGAGTGCATGGATACATTCAACTTTTTTCCTGCTTGCCACTGCATTCATGATACACACAAAATACATCCAATCTTTGGAGAATTGTTGTGTGATAAGTGGTGCCAGAGGCAAGCCACCTTTTCTCGTTCCATTTTTGCTTGCGAAAAAGAAACATCTATGTACGCTTAAAACCCCCATTCCTCTCAACGTTGTCTTGGAAAAATATGACAATGGGATAATAATCAACGCAACAGATTTCAATTTAAAGCAGCCTGTCACGATGCACATTAATGCTGCAGCCAAAAACCAAGCAAACACCAAGAGGGCCATGTTTCAACGCAACAAATAATAATGGTGTCCAGATTTTCAGCACTCAAGTCAGCGACTCAGCGGTGCAGCATTAAGATTAGCCACAAAGGGTCCTCCTTTATTCTCAAGGGCGATCAAGTACATCTACTGGGTGCCGTCCAAAATGGCCATTCTGAAGTCTTGTATGAGTTGAATCTGTCATTGTCTTCTCCTACAGGGTCCAGACTAGTCTAGCTAGCGACTCTTTTGTCTTCGATGAGCAATTTTGTACGGTTCCCATCACTGATAGACAACTGGGACGATGGATTCATGATTCTGGATTAGCTGTGATGATTTACGGTCGGAAAGATGCTTGGTATATATATGTTTAGCTTGTAGTTATGGTGTAAATCAACAAAGAGAAAAAGCAGAACTCGCTATCCAATACTAAGCTCCAACTATGTACAAGTTTATATATTCATACTCTCCGTTAAGTAGTTGCTGCCGTGAATAATGTCCGGCGGCGACAGCACATGACACTGTGACATTTCGATGAATGACTCGACACAATCCTCACAATGTCATGTGGGCTGATCCTTCCCTTGCACCGTACGGACTCTAATTCGAAGGGCAACTTTTCTATTTTCCCAAGTAACGTCTTTAACTGTTACCTTAACCAATCACGAGCTGACACGCTGACACACCATGCCCTTTGTATGTTAGCTTCTTGGCAAATCACCGCCTACCTTGTTTCGGTTTATAGACTCCTGGAAAGTGGAAACTTCACTCTGTTTGTTCTCACACACTCTCTCTTTCTTCACTTTTTACTCTTCGTTTTGGAGTTGTTGGAGACTTTGAGAACACAAAGAGAAAATGGATGATGAATTTGCAAAGTTTATTAGAAGAATCAACCCTCCAAGGTATTTTTTGAGCTGTGGTGTTTCATAGGAAAGGCTTTTGTTCCATAACTGTGTGAGTTTTTATCCTCTTTTTTTTTCACCTGTCATCAGCTAATTGCCAAGTTTCATTTTTGTAGAGTTGTTGTTGACAATGATGCCTATGAGCATGCTACCTTCATACAGGTATCACCTTTTGTCATATTCCAGTTACCATATGCAGTTTCTAAGAAACTAGGCCCGAAAACAGATTTAGTTCTGCATGGAACCCTATAGTACCTGAAAATTTTCCATAACTGGGTGTTTGGTGCTATTTTTAGGTTGATAGTGTCAATGGGCATGGGCATGGTATTCTCCTTGAAGTTGTCCGGGTTCTTTCAGACCTGAACCTCGTTGTAACCAAAGGATATATCTCATTTGATGCAGGATGGTTTACGGATGCTATGTTTTAAAAAATTTTATCAAAATTTTTTTTGGGGGGGTTCTATTGAATGTGCTAATTATATCAAACTTAGTTTTTTCAGTGTTCTATTGACAAATAATCAAGGCAACAAAATTATAGATGAACAGACCCTCAGTTATATACAGGAGGTATGGGATTACAGAAGTTATGATCCTGCTTATAGTTTTCTGACAAGTTATGGTCATTTCATAACTTTTGTTTGTTAAATTCTGCAGACTCTTGAAAATAAAGTATACTTGTTAAATTCAAGGAGGAGTTCTGTTAGTGTAAGTCCTTCTAAAGAGCATACCTCAATAGAACTAACTGGCAATGACAGGTCAGGGCTTCTGTCGGAGGTATCTGCAGTCCTAGCGGACCTAGGGTGCAATGTGATGAATGCTGAGATTTGGACACATAATGCCATAGCTGCAGCCGTTATCCAGGTGACAGACCAGTCAACAGGACATGCAATTGAAGAACCGAAAAGACTTTCAATGATCAAGGAACTACTACTCTTCAATGTCATGAAAGGCAACAGTGATTTTAGGATACCTAGAATGTCTATTTCCTCTTCTGGTGTAACACATAGAGGGAGAAGATTGCACCAGATGCTTTTTGCTGATAGGGATTTTGAGAGGCCTAAGAATGTGGAATTAATTAAAAGTGCAAAACCCCATGTAACTGTTCTGGATTGCAGTGACAAAGATTATACAGTTGTGACTATAAGGTCTCTGGATCAACCAAAGCTATTGTTCGACACTATTTGCAGTCTAACAGACATGGAATATGTGGTTTTTCATGGAATAGTCATCACAGGGAGAATGGAAGCTTATCAGGTTTGAAAGCACAATAAACAATTCAAAAGTTATCATGAAAATCTGAAGTGGGTTTATATGATCTCAAAAAACTGATAGAGCAAAGCACATTTTGCAGGAACACTACATCAGGCATGTTGACGGAGTCCCTATAAGCTCAGAAGCTGAGCAACAACGAGTTGCAGTGTGTCTTGAAGCAGCCATTGAGAGGCGAGCCTCAGAGGTTTTCTTTTTTTCCCCTTTAAACTACCATTTTTCTTTCCTTTTCCCCCTCCACTTTCATTGAACAAATGCTTTATTACAGGGCCTGGAATTGGCACTTCGCACAGATGATCGGTTCGGACTCCTGTCAGATATTACAAGGATATTTCGTGAAAACGGTTTGTGCATCAGAAGGGCTGAAATATCCACCAAGGGTGGGAAAGCAAGAGACACATTCTTTGTCACGGATGTCTCAGGTAAGCCAGTTGATCCCAAAACTGTGGATTTGATCCAGCATCAGATAGGACAAGCCAATCTTCATGTAAAATGGAATTCCTTCGTATCTCCGAAACTTCCCAAGATGACAACAAGAAGTTTCCTTTTTGGGAACTTCTTTAGAGGACGAAGTTTCCTAAACTTTAAACTCAACAAATCTTGCTCATAATCTCTCTTCCCTATTAGTTTTTGGAAGGGAGCAGCGGAGTGTTTCCTTGAGAAAATACACCGAAGAAGGCACCTCAGAACAGTTAAAAAGAAGGAAAAAGGCAGCTGGCTACTATCCTATTTTGGTATGTAAATTGTACATAATTAATATGATAGAATACTTTGCTTGTAAGGCTTAGATTCGGTTCCTACTACCAACGATCCTCTCGATGAACGATCTGTAAATCTAATGTAAATCTTCATTAAGAGTCATGAAATGAGATAATCATCCCTCACCTAAACTGTTATTGATCAAACTAAAGTTACAAACTTTCCAATTAACAATAATTAAGGGAAGAAAAGTAAATTGCATTGATATCAAAAGCAGGCTTTAAAAACAATAATCATAAACATCTATTGGAAACCCTAAAATTTGATATTAATGGCTTCTGTTCTGCTTCTTTACATTAATCTAAAACTCAAACTTACGTTGCGAGTTTGTGATTGTGCAGAACTATGCTCTCGCAATTTAGACATACCAGCATTAAATGTCCTTTGTAAGATATAAATCCGCTCTACTAGGATGCACTTTGAGTTCCTCAATTCCAGCATATTCCTTCTACATTAGGAGCTCATCATCTTCACAATGCTTGATTTTAGAATGCAATTTCTTTAACTGTATTCAAGAAAAGTTCAAACACTTCTTAAGAATGGTTGAATGAACTAAATTAAGTTCCAGATTCAATTAAATAATAATTCTAATTAACCACTAAAATACCAAATAAACCAATATAGTAATTAACTTCCAACACTACCTACAGCAGTTTTGTATCAAAAAATTTTCCAACATTGCTTATTGCCCCCTCTCCACAAAACTGATCAGCAACTCAACTAGTTTCTAATAGTAGCAAACCAGAATCCTGCAGTAGAATCACAGCAGCTGAAAATTAGTTTGGGAGTACAAGTCATCAAGTTATCCAAGATTATCTCGCAAGAGACCTTTAGCAAAGCTCTTGGCCTGACAGAACCCATCTTAAACGTGACCATGCCATCATATTCAAAGTCAGTGACACCCTTTTATTTCTAGAATCATTTTTCAGTTTCTGGTTTACATCATCTGGTAAAATCACCCCAAGACCAGTCAAGGGAGACTGTACCAGCATTTTGTCCTTGGGTGGTTGAAAGAAAGGTGGAATCCCACCACTGCACAAGCGAATGCCAGAATAACAAGCGACAATGGAGTTATCATATTCATAGAAGACACCAATATGCCTGGAGGGATTGTTCACCTTCAAAGTGATATTAAATAAGGATGAGAACCTTGTAAGGGAATTGTAAAAGATAGCGTAGTGAAAAGTAACTTGCTCAACAGAGAAGGTAGGAGAACGTGGTCCAAAAACATAGAACATAATGATAGGGATACCAACAATGGTGAGAATGAAGGAAACAACAATGGCAACAATCAAACAAGTTTGGGTTTTGTCATGGGAAGAAGTGGTGCTGATGGTATTGGTTGTAGTGTTATTAGTATTTGGAAATGTCGACTTCTCCGCTCTCGCAGCAGTGAATTTCGAAACATGGGTGGAGGAGTAAGTGGCCGGTCCTGGTAGTGGAAGCTTGGAGAACAGGGAGGCACATTGAAAGCAAACCTCAGGGTTCTGTCATGTCGAAGAAGTCGACCAGGGCCTGCTAGGTTCTTGCAGGAGAAGGGTAGCCACGGTTTGTGTTCTCATTTGGAGATGCCATGGCCATGCCTAATGGAAGTGAAAACAAAAGATTGATTGAAGAAATTTAGTGGAGGGTTGCTGTTTACATAGAGCAATCGGTGTCTTTTTGGCATGATTTGGGAGATTATTCAATATGACATTTGATGCTTGAAGATTTCAGTGACCATGGTTGACGGAAGTAAATGAGAAGACAGAGAAAAATCAGAAACAGCCTCGTGGAAAAAAGATTAAATGTAAGTTCTTTCCATTATTTCTTCCTTGTCACCATTTAATTGGAGATTATTTCATCAAAAAAAAAAAAAAACAATACGTGAAAAATTACGCACCCAAAACTGAAGATCTAAAAAGGAATAACATCGGTGAATCCCTACGATTTGCCTGGTATTATTCAGTGAGAACAATTGTCAATCAAAATGACATTCAATCTGCCTGTTTATTTTGTTGTACATATAGACAAAATGTGATGGAGGCAAAAGATTTTTCGTTATTGGACAAAAACTATAGACCGAAAAGATGTATGAAGCTTTAAATTGTTGGGAAAAACTGGTTTTCTTAGTTAAGGATGGAAAAGTTAGATTCTGTATATATCAAATATAAAATATATTTTTATTTATCAAATTCACATATATATTTATCAAATTCATATACCATATTATTTTGATTGTGTCTACATCATATTTGAAATTATCTTATGTAAGATGCATGCCCCATGAGCCACATCCAACTTTTTTGGGTGCTCATGCTTGCAAACGAGAGAGTTCAACATAAAATCTTTTGTTGTAGTCTTACTCCACAAATAAGAGAGGTGAGCAGCATATATGAACAAACGATGCATTGACTACCCAGGGAAGAACAACTCAATCTGAATCTCACAGCTTACTTGGTGTTTACAGGCCTTAGACAGCAAAAAAATAGATTATTAATACCAAACAAGAAAATATTTTGCTAAGAGTCCAATTAGGAGCTGGAGGATTCAGTCATAAAACACATCTTCCAATGATAGGCGCACATAAAACAAAAATAATGTCCATAAGAGAATAATAACTAAAATGCATAAATTATTATCCAGGCAATCACACGACGGATGTGATGTAAATGATAATAAAATAAACCTCATAATTGATAATCCATTAGAGACACAAAACTTCACCACAAGCAGCAGCTACTAGGTATTTTCAAAGTTCAACTATAAAAGAAAAGAGTAACACGAGTTGAAAGTTGACTGCAGCTGATTTCACAGGAACACTTAATCAAACAAGAAAATAAAACAAAAAACCCACAACTATAGGTGCCTCTGGGAGAAAACAATGGCATTCCTAAGTCATCCTCTGTGCAGCTTCCTTTGCAAGAAGCTTCTCCTTTGCCTTGGTTCTGGCCTGTGACTTGGAGCCCATGATACCACCTCCCCACTTCTTCCTGTACTCATCATACTTGTCATTGAAGTTCGCCTGTGACATAAGTTAAAAGTTAATCATATGATATTCAACTTGAACAGAAATTAATTAGAAAATATTGCAGGGTGTAATCTTACCTTGATGGCCTCGAGGATTTTGCTGAACTCCAACTTATCCTCGTTCTTAACTGTGGTCAAGCACAAGACAGCAGCAGTTTTCTTGTGGACGATCTGCAGTGGTATAAACACAAATAAGTAACCTACTTGCTTAACTGTATAATTGCAGAAAAGCAGACAAATCCAAGAGACAACTACCGATCCCAAACGTGATTTCCCCTTGACAATGCAGTAAGGCACCTCCATCTTTCTGCATAAAGCAGGAAGCCACACTACCAACTCTATGGGATCCACATCATGAGCGATAACAACCAATTGTGCCTTGTTCTGCCAAACATAGTAAAAAAAATTATTATTTTTTAAGCACTTTGCAATAAACAGAATGCATACCACACCAGCTAAACAGCTGAGTATGAAGAAACTAGAAGGCAACCTGCTCAATAAGGTAGGTAACATGGTTAAGACCATATTTCACAACAATTGGTTTCTTTGACTCAGTAGCTTTTCCTTCAGCCTCGGCCTGCGCCTTTTTCAGGAGACGTTCCTTCTTAGCTGCCCTGTCCTCTGGCCTGTACTTGAGAAGTAACTTGAAAAGACTTGTTGCTACAATAGGACATTAAATAACCATGTTGTAATCATACTTCATTTAAAAAAAATTCAATTCCCAAGTCGTACTACAAACACCTATGACAAGTCAATGATTAACAAGAACAAATGGAAAAAGGGAGCTCCGATAGAATCATTCTCTCTCCCAAAAAAATGTTTAACCTAAAAAAACTAAAACTAATCAAAGGATAGAGAAAATAACTATGGAGAAATCCATAATTCACTCAAACTAAAATTTGTGAATGTAATATACAAAAAGAAACAAGTGAAGATTTTATAGCATACCAAGGTTCTTATCAAGAGTCTTGGTAAATTGGTTCAATGCTGGTGGGACCTTCAACCTCTGCTTAAGGATTCTCTTTTTCCTTTGAATGCGAACAACCTTAGGCCACTTCACAAAACGATGCAGATCCTTCTTTGGAGGTAGAGCCCCTCCAATACCAAACTGTCTTGGACGCTTCTCAAACAATGGATTAACAACCTTCTCCTAATACCCAAAATGAAAAGATTGAACAAATAGTGAGACCAAAATAAAGTTATTTGAGGGGTTCATGTGATTGAGAAAGTAATGAAAATTACTTGTTTCTTCTTGGCTGGCACAGCTACCTTTCCACCTCTCTTTGGGGCCTGCATTTAACAACAAATTAAATAAAAACACATTGATGAACCCGTTTAAACAAGTACATCAATTCATAACTACGTTCAAACCATTAAACTTATATCACCAGAGCCACTCACAAATCCTTTTGTCACTTTTCAATAATTCATATGAACCAGGACAATTTCCTCCAAAGGTCCTATAGTCCCAAAGCTTCTTCAATATTATTGACCAAGACAAACCATAGTTCCTTTAGCTAAACTTAGACTTATGTTAATCTTCCAACATAATCACTGTTCACTACATTATAACAATAGTTGCCATAGATCTGTTCATGTCTGATAAATGATCATCTTTCCTAGAAATTAACAAATATCAACCAAACCAAGCATTCCAAATTCCATACAGTATTTAATCTAAACGTTCGGTGAACTGAATCTAAAGCAAAAACAAAAAGAAAATGAAAGAGCTAACGCTATACACCAAAAGAGAAGAAGAATAACTGAAATGGGATTCTGGGATTTACCATTTTTTGCACCCTCGTAAAGCTTTTCCCAAGCTTTTTGTGGTTAAATGAAAACGGCTGGGGAAAACCCTACAAAGAAAACGAAGAAGCAGAATCGATACAATTAGGGTTTATAAAGAACAAGACCCAGGATTGGGCCAGTGGTCAAAGGTTATGGGTTTGTCGGACCTTTCGACATGTCGCAAATATAAATGGGTTCTGAGACTTGAAAGCCGGTGAGCCCGACCCAATAGTTTCTCAATGCATTAGTGATTTGCCCTCTTATAATTTGGTGGGTCAAACTCAATGTGAATTGGAAAGGGTTGGACTAGAAAAAAAAATTATTTATTCATTCAAGTCATTTCCGGATTTTGCAGTCCATTCCCAACCAAGCTTCAGAAACCTGACCCAACTTGCAGTCAAATTTAAAGCTTTTCCTTTTACCCGCTGTAAAAACTGTTTTTACCGCTATACAAATATCTTTAAGGGAATAATTGTAGAGGGCAGAAAAAAATTTTCAAAAAGTCATTCGAAATTGTAGTATTGATTTGATTTAAATTTAATTTAATTATTTAATTTGAATCAAATTTATTAAATCTATATATATTAAGTTTTGGTGAATTTTATATTGAAATATGAAAAATAAAAAAAATTAAATTAAATTATATATTTTTATTAAATTTTTTTATATTTTTTAATTTTTTATAAAATAAAAATAATTATTTTATAAATAATATATTTACATATTTTAAAATTTTTATTAAACTAATATATAAAAATTAAAAAAAATTTAAATTTAAAAATTAATGAATCGAATTAAATTGATAAAATTTGATTTGACTCAAATAAATTTAAAAAAAATCAATTGAGATTCAAATAAAATTTTAAAAATTTATAATATTATAAATTATTTAAAAAAATCAAATTAATTCAATCTTATTTAAATAATTATCACTCATAAATAATCAAAATGATTGGAATGAATTTTGTTATATTTTTTTCTTATGTTTGTTAAATTAAAATTTATTAAATATTATTTATAATTATTTAATAAATAAATAAATATGTTATTTGTTTAAAAATATTTATTAAATATCAACGAATTTTATTATATATATATTATAATTTATTCATTTAATTATTAAATTGGTTGCCCCCTCGTTCCTGCTTTCTTCACATCTCCCTCGCGCCCGATCGAAAATTTTTATCTCAAATTTGCCCCTTCCCTAATTTCCCCGAATCCAAACCAAAAAAAGTCGAAACACTGAAGACTTGTTTTTCATTTCACTGGACCAGTGACCAGAGCAGAGCAACTTTCACTCTTGATCTTTATTAGGGTTTCTTTCAATTTTAGGGGATAAACAAGATTTTTGCTGTTTGATTGGTGTTTTTCATGGCGGCGGAAACCCTAGACGAGAAAAAGCCGGACGAGGAGGAGGACGCTGCTCCTGTTAACGCTAAAGAGGAGGAAAATAAGGAGGTTTCCGAGAAAGAAGTTGCTCGAGAAAGTGAGGAAAAGAAGGAAGTTGAAGAGAAAGAGCAAGAGGAAGGAGAGAAAGCTGAGGAGACTAAGGAGGAGGAAGAGAACGAAGAGGAAGGGGCCGAAAAGGCCAAAGGTATTAGTCGAAAGCGAAGCTCCAGGAAAGGGCCAACTGAGTCCAAGACACCGAGTCGAGATTCGGCTGAGAAGAAGGAGCCTGTGACGCCGAGTAGTGACAGGCCTACAAGGGAAAGGAGAGTCGTCGAAAGGTACTCGATTACTTCCGTTGTCAGGTCTTCCTCTGCCAAACCTTTATCAATTGAAAAGGTACTGTTTTGATTCAGAATTTGATTACTGTTTTCTCCATTCTTCTTTCTTTTCTTGTGAATTTTTTGGGTTTGCCTTTCTTTAAGGGTCGCGGCACACAGCTTAAAGATATTCCAAATGGTATGTGCATTTTCTCTTTCTTTAATGTTTTTATTAAGGTACTACTATATGTTTCTTTGAATTTCATGGGATTTGATGGTGCTTCTATTCTTTAATTCTGGGTAACTGTAATGTGATATAGTCAAGCTGATGAATTTTGGTGCAACTTGGGACTGTTAAACTTAGTACTTCTTAACACTATCTGGGGCGCGTACGTATTGTTGAATGCAATAAACTATCTGAGACTCTGTTATTAGTTATACATTGGATTCACATTTGAGCAAGCTCAAAAATCATTCTCTATAAAGCCTGTCGATGAAGATGTGAGTAATAGCATTCAAACCAGTATTAAAACTGAGGTTACACTGTTTCTATGTGCACTTTGGCCATTTTTTTCCTCCTTAAGCATGAATAAGTATTATAATAAGTGGTTGAAATGAAGGGCTCCTTAGGTTAAACTATAAGAAGTTTGAAATTTTGTAAAATAGGCCTGGATGTGAAACCTTTTGAACCGCTATGATAGCTTATTCAATACTTGCTGATAATAGTTGCTATTATTTTCTCCTCTTGCTTTCTATGTTCTTGTTTTCTGGGTATCAGGAGTTCGTGCCAATAGTTTCATTATGGATTGCTTTGCATAGTAGGAGCTTTTTGTGCTTGAATTGCTTGTGAAGTTACTAGATGTTATGGTAGTATTTGACCACTATCAATATTTAGTCCTTACCGCTTTGCCTCTTGCAGTTTTCATCTAATATTTGACTCTCAAGATTGTCTTGAATGACAGAAAGATTCTAATCCTGTTGTTGTGATGACATTTTTGAAATAACCTTGTTTTTGTTTATTCAGCTTTATTGTTCCACAGAGTCTAGCCTATTTTTTCTCTGATATTGCAAACTGTTTCAGTGGCTTTCAAGTTGTCTAAGAGAAAACCTGATGACAACCTGCTGATGCTTCATATGATACTCTTTGGAAAGAAGGCAAAGGTAATCAAGTTGTCTTTTTGTTCCATGATGGTTTTTTTGTACTAATTGTATTTTTTACTTTTACAGCCTCACAGTTTGAAGAGAAACATCGGCCGATTTTCAGGCTATGTTTGGGTTGAGAATGAGGTATTTACCCTGACCTTATGAATGTTGGTTTTATTCATTTTTTTTTCCTGTTGTCTACTTGCATGGTTCGTGTTTTGCATGTAGTAACATTAGGTTTAATCTGAGGGTACATTGCATATGCTTGACTTTGTGTATAAGCTGTTATTCATTAAGTGAAACCTTCTTAATGCCCTTTTTTTAATCTTTTCAGCTGGAAAGACAAAAGGCAAAAGTAAAGGAAAAAATTGACAAATGTGTTAAAGAGAAATTGGTTGACTTCTGTGATTTGCTGAATATTCCAATAACAAGGGCCACTGTTAGAAAGGTCAGTAAGAAATATATAAAGTGTACCATTGTTTATGTTGTAATTTTTCTTGCTTATTTGGGAATAACTCTTCTCTTTTTTCAGGAGGAAGTCTCTGCCAAATTGTTGGAATTTCTGGAATCCCCCCATGCTACAACTGATATTCTACTTGCTGACAAGGAACAGGTGCAATGTTATTTCATAGTCTTTTGCATGTTGTGGAGTATTTGGCATGATTAACTGTCAGTTTGTAACTGAATGAGATTATTTATTCATCTTGTTTCAGAAGGGTAAAAAGCGTAAAGCTACACCAAGCAAAAACATTGGTTCTGGGGAAGCATCAGATACATCAGCCAAGGTTTGTTTTGTTTGGTCGTGTTCCATTTTGATCTCTTTTTGTTGTAACTTTATACATCTATGATCGTGGACTAGTGCTTGTCTCTGCATGTATTGATGTTTTGTATTTTTAAATTTATTGATCCCATCATATCTTTGTTTAAATGTTTCTTTTATTGTGCATCAGTTTTACCCCCTCTTCGGTGCCGAGTTTAAATTCTTATGATAAGTGTGATGTGGTTAATTTTTGGTGTTCGTTAACCGTGAGAACAAATTATTTATGCTTGGGTGCTAAAGTTCTGTTCTTATTTATAAGGTTCTTTATAGAATATGCTGGTCTAATGTGATATCATCAAACTGATCATTTGTTAATGCTATCATTAAAGTTAATAAGGTTCTTTAGAATTGTCAATTTGTCAATTTTTTGTGAGGGTCGTTAATTAATTTTGGCTGATCAAAGTTGGCGCTCTGAAGACTTGAACTTGCATCCCTATTTAATCTAGTTTACCATTTCCCTACTTAGTGGCTGCTATGCATGTATTGTTTCTATTTTTTAAAATTTCGTCGTTTTGTATTGTTAATACAGTAGTGAATCTAGTGATGCTTGTTGCATATACATGTACACTTATTGTTTTTTGCCAGTCATGGAGAATTTTTTTTTTCTGTAATTTGTTCATGAAGTTTGTCAACTTGTTTGTGAGGTTCTGTGCCCATTCCATATTGGTCCTTCCAAACTCCTTTTTATTCAGTTTAGAAATATTTTTGGTGGTTTATTTGCAAGTTTAAGTATTTTTTCCCTTGAATAATTGTTGATTCAGTATAAAGTATGTTTCACTGGGTGATTCATGAATTATCTTAAATGGATTGTAGTTCCTATTTGTTTATTGGGGTAACCAGCAAGCATTAACTGCGGTTTTTAATTGTTAGTTTCCCTGCATCTTTTTTGTTTCCTGAATTAGCATTATTCTGTGTTCATTATCGTCTTTCCCATGGTTCATTGTGAGAATTTCACTTTGATATGAATTAGAGTCATTTTGCACTTGAGAATGAGTGTTGGCGCTTGTAAGTGTCATACACAAGCTTGCTCAGTTTTTTCTTTTGTTTGGAGGGTGAAGACATCATACCTATGTGGTTATGTCCATAGATGTTGAAAATGTGTCTAACATGGGTACTTTAGGAAAACTGATCATCACAGAAATTTTTTTCCAGTATCCAAAGTTCCCAACCATTATTTTTATTTTAGGTAGTTTTAATAAATTCTTAATTTGGTAGATTTTGACCTCCTTTGTTTCTTTTTTGGAGAAACCAAAATTTATACATGTTTTTTATTGAGTGTAGCTTGGATTGCAGTTTCACATATTTTCTGTCTAAAATCTCAAATAAGGATGTGCTAAGAAATCTAGTTGGCAATTGCTGCTTGAGAATGATAACTTTTCTGTCATGTGTATCTGTTTGCTTGTCTCTGTCCTATTTTTAACCTTTACAGTGTTTTTGGTGGCTGAGAGTGCTTGATGCTTGTTATTTTCTTTCCAATTTGCTATAAAGAGGCGACAAAGAACACCCCAAGGTGGGGAAAAGCATAAGCATTCATCCAAAGCTGCGGAAGAAGGTGAAGATGATGATAAAGTTGAATCCCCTGTTACAAAAGATGATTCTCATGAAGATGATGCTGACACTTCACCAAAAAAGGAGAGTGATGATGAAGAGACTAAATCAGAGGAAGAAGATGAACCCAAGCAGTCAAGCAAAAGAAGTACTCCAAAAAAGATTACAACAGAGAGTCTGGAGTCAAAAAGCAAGGATAAGTCTACGTCTGGGAAGAAGCTTACCCCTGCAAAATCTAGCAGAAAATCTTCAGGATCAACTTCAAAACAAGATGCTAGTGATATTGATGGGATTTCTGTCTCTAAATCGAAGGGTTCTGCATCAAAAAAGCGGAAGACTGGAAAGGAAAGCTCAAAGGATGGCAGTTTTTCTGCCAAAGATAAGGTTGCAGGCAAGAAACAACAAACAAACAAGTCGCCAGCAAAGGTTTCTGCCAAAACTCAAGGTAGATTTCTCTAGCTATACCATTGAAATGTTGTGCATGTTTACTCTAGCTTGTGTTCACAAGGTTTTTACTAAATTTGGATGTGTTTATGTGTGATATTATAAAAATGGAAACTTCTGGGCTAGGGGTATTTAAGTGGTGTTGTATTTATTGATTTTTTTATTCTAATCCCTTTGAGTTTATGCCGTGACAGGTAAAGGCAAAAGTGGCAAGAAGCCTAAAGGAGAGCCTAGCAGGGAAGAGATTCATGATGTAGTGGTAGATATTCTAAAAGAAGTGGACTTCAACACCGTAAGTAGTATCTTTATCTGTGTTTTGGTGATGGAAGTGATTAAAATCAAGATTGTTGTGCTATAATTTTCTTCTGTTTGTGATGCAGGCTACATTATCTGATATTCTTCGGCAACTGGGTATGTTTACCTTGAGCCTTAAAGTATTTAAGTTACAATGTTGATGTTGAGACTTGACTAATTGTAAGATTTGGATCATCTCAGGCACGCACTTTGATCTGGATTTGATGCACAGAAAAGCTGAGGTGAAGGATATTATTACAGATGTGATAAACAACATGTCTGACGAGGATGAGGAAGGAGAGGAAAGTGAGGAGAATACTGATACAGGCGGTGGTGCTGATAAAGATGGGGATGAGGATGATGATGCTTAGTTCACTTGAGAAATTATGACCATATAAAACATGTGAGACATGTGCAGTCATCGGTAATTTATCTCCCTCCTAGGATTCCATTTTCAATTATCGTACAATTATAAATTAGAGTAGTCATTTTAGATGTTCAATAGCTGGGATTGTACCATATGAGTAGTATCTTATTATTGGTCTGGCCTCAATCTACATTCTTTTAGGTTTTTTTTTTTTTTTTTACTGGGTTTCTCTCCCATTTTAGTAATGTCCTTTTGTCTTTTTCATTGAAATTGTTCAACTTGTATTTAACATTTTAGTTATACTTGACCAGTGAATGCTTTTCTTGTAGTAAATGTGGTGAACGAGTCAAATTTGTTTTAATCAAAGTACCAACCCGGTGGTAGCATAAGCAATTCCAAGAACATCTAAGCGTTGATGCTTCATTTTTTACGCTTTATGTCAGCAGTCTTAAATTCAAGAACAAAAATAACCCCCGATCTGCTAGTTTCCGAGTTCTGAGTCGTATAATTTGCTTTTGTGTTTGTGGCATAATTGTTAGTCAAATGGCGTCTATATTGCTTGTATCAGCCATGTACTCCTTGTAAAAAGTAAGAGAATAAGAAAGCTATTCATTAAAAACGAAATTATGGCCGTTTCCAAACATCCAACTGTTTGAACAATTCTTCAACCCTTCCCTCTCGTCAGTCCATTACGTTTGAAAGAAGAAAAAAGAAACCCCAAAAAGTTGTCGCTTTCTCCTCTCTTGTTTCACATTATGGACGCTTGTTATAAGATTGCTGAAACTTGTTTAAATGGGGTTTTCAACTAATCAAGAAATAGCTTAATTTTTACACATTGGTATAAATAAAATTATATTTTACGGAATGAAAAACACATTGGAGATGTTAATGTAAGTATCACTCGTATGTGATAGATTTATATATTAAGCATTACATTATAGATTTTAAAATTTAAATATCATATTAATATTTGATTATAATTTATGAGTTATTCATAATATTAATCCAAATTTGATTAATTTGATGAAAAATAAAGGATCAAGAACCATCACACTCACATGGCAGTCTTTTTTTTTTTCATCAAATTTAATGAAAAATAAAAGATCAAGAACTTAATTGATACTAATAAAAGAGTAGGACGAGATGGCATATTTTACATAATTCGAAGATTAATTTTATCATTATGCTATATATCAAAAGCTGAATCCCTGTGTGTAATTCATGCCAAAGTATTTTGAAATAGGTGAAGCGTACATATCTATATTAAGTACTTGGAAATATGCTGAATTCATGAATAATTATCCTGTTCGTGGAGTAAATTTTTTCTTGATCACGCTCTGGTCGTGAGCTAAAATCCTGAAGGGTTTTCAGGTTTCCATAACTCAATTTGAGACAGTTGCACGAAGAACTTCTCTAATGCAAAATTTAATGAGATTAAAAACCACTTAATAATGAATACTTCCAAGCTCTAACCCCAGCAGATATTGAAGTGGAAATTACAAGCGACAAGGACAAAAGTTCTGATTTCTGAAGCAATCTAATTAAGCTGGTGGATAATGGGCTCACCCGTAGACAGCTGACCACACAGACAGAATTGCGCCATCTTCTCCTTAAATGGTTGAAACCGGGGTGGATTTCTCTCATGTCAGAATGACAAGAGGTGTTATCTAGAAGCGTAAAGCCCAAGCTCTGCCTTTGGCAAGGTACGTCAAAGAGACAACCATGAAAAATTAAAAACAAAGGATCTCTCCCAACTTTCCTGTCCTTTCAGTTTTGCCCATTAATTCTTTGTATTCACAACGTAATTTATATATTCCTCCCAAAGTTCTAAAAATCTGTCTCTAATGACATCTGCACAAAAACAAATCCTAGTAAGGAATGCTTATCATGCCATGCATGGAACCTAATCAGCTAAGGTTCCTTCTGTTCGATTTTATTTTCTTTCATTTTCCTTGTTCTTGCATTGATATTTTTTCGAACAGGAAATTGCTTTGATTTTCTTTTAAAACCACAATAACATCTGTCAAATGTTACTTGTTTTCTACTACTTGATTTATCTTATTTCCCCCTTGATATTTTACTATCCTTTGCCTATAATGCAATCAGGAATTAAAACATATTAAAGCTATATAAACAATCTAAACATAATTCAGTTAATTCATGTAATTAATTTTTTTATATAAAAGACATATTTAAAATTTAAATATCAGCAAGTGAAATGCATTTTGCTATTTCTAGATCAAACAAAACAAATTACTATATATAAATAAAGCTTCTAAAAAGGAAAGCTTCTAAATAAATTATTATATTTATGTTCATCTTCATCTTCCCACGCAAACTTTATGTAGGTTTGAAGTATAAGCCGTTTACTATATGCATTAAATTATGAAAACAATACATAACTTGCAATTACATTGATGTATGAACATGATCTTCTCAAATTCAATCCTACCTTTTGAACAAAAAAATTGAGAAATTTTGTAAAAAAGAAAAAAAAAGGTTAAACTTAATACCTATTCAATTTAAACATTCGCGATGGAGTGAGGAGTTTATAGGATCCATAGCCCTTATTGATACTAGAACTGATCTGGCGATGAGAAGGGCTGCAAAGGATTAATGGACTGTAGGCAAAGCTGCAAACAGGAGTGCTTATCTCTTCACCACTGTCCATCTCTGCCAAAACTTTGTAGAACAAATCAACATCGCAAGGAAGTAGAAGGGGACCTTCACTGCTGTACCCATATTCGAGCTCAGCATCTTCTAGCAGCATCTTAAACAATGGATGGTTGGCGAACTTGGTCTTGATCACGAATCTTTGTCTTTGGGGTCCAACATAGACAGAAAAGCATCCTTGTGGAGCAACCTGATCACACTTCTTTTTCCCTTTATCTTCTTCCAGGGAAGATGATTTTGGTGAGCAGTGCCATGACTTGCTCTTTTTCAATGCTTCACAAGAAGTTCCTGATGGTTTCTTGCCCCAAGGTCGAAGCGACCACCATCTTTCCCAGGCCCTGACAAGCCCGTTTTTCTTCCTTTTCAACTCTACAACATCCATTTACAATAGGAACGTACCTGTATTGATCACCGATTGAACCTGAAACAAATTAAGTCTTGATTCTCCCTAGATAAAACCTTCCAGCTGCTAGCAGCTCAAGAATCAAAATAAAGCAAAGAGAAAGAGAAGAAGGAAAGAGCATAGAAGAAGACAGCACGAGATATGCTTCAAGGAAGGAGTTTTATTTAGTGGATAATCATCACAAAGTTATAGCCTTGGAGAGCCAGTTCTGTTATATAGCCCCAAACCCCATATACAGACTACTCCTGCAAATAATATTTGCACTTGTCAACGCACAAACGCTGCTAGATTTTTGGAATATCATTTGTTTAAAACAAGGTGAATATGAATGACAAGAGAGGCCACTTTTATATATCTTCAACGCCCCTACCTCATACTGGACAAACAAGACAACAAAAACAAATTAATTCAAGCGTTAACTGAAACATATGATAAACAAATAATCAAACGACTAATGAAATTTTTAAAAAAATAAGGAAAGGTTTGTGTTGGGAACTTTGTCTAGGGAAAGACAAAACTGAAACCTGTTGAGAGATTGGACCTTTTGTTGGTATTAGGGATATATTGTGTTGTCATTAAGCACACGGAGAGAGGACATTGGAGGTAGGTTATCATTTTACCTTTTCCAATTTTTTTCCCTCCTTTTTCCTCCGTTGACTGTTCGGAAAGAGACTGAAAGAATGTAATAAGTATGTAACAGTAAAATTAGATCAGACAAATTTAAACACGATACGATAAAAAAAATTCAAAAGCAATACAATTTAAATTTTTAATAAAAATTATATTTAATTTGAAAAAAAATAAAAAATGCATGTTTTTCATATCTGGCTTGTCTATACAAATTTAATAAAATAATTTTTATATTATATATATCTTTAATACGTTTTATCAGGCTTATCTAATAATGCAGGGCAAAGGTTAATTGTTAGGATAATGACATCTTAGGCTTGTAAAGACTAATTCTACATCATCTTAAACCAGGTACCAATTGATATGTACTGTTGTACATTTGAGACCAAAAGGCAAAGACAAAAAAAATATTGGATACATATGATTTTTCACCCAATTATGATGTTGTCCTTCAGATGTGGATTGTTGTGATCTAACTTTCTGGTTTCATGCATGGGGCTTTTAATCAGATTCTTTCTGTTAAATCTTTTTGACAAAGTCTGGTTAACATTATTATTTACTACTGGCCTCCTCCGGATAGCTCTTTGAAAATGGTGTCATTGTCATCTGAATTAAAAGTAAAATTTGCATCAACGATTTGACTGAAACTTATCCGTATTTCAATTTCTTGGAACCAGCTCTTCAAATATATCCAAAAACCATGGATGCGAAACTCAATTTACCCCACAAATTTAACTTGGGGGGTTTTTTACTTGATGGTTTAACTGGTTTTACCATTTCATTTCTCATTCCAATCCAATTACAGATTATACCTTCACCCTGTAGTAATTTCCAAGTATATATGTTGACAGAAGGGAGGAAAATCAAAGAATTTGAAGGTGGTAGCCATAGGAAAAGCATTGGTTTTGGCTGCACAAAGATTTACATGAATGAGTTTGCAACTTGACTTGTTGCACTAGCCATGGTCTAGTTTTCCTTATAAGGCAAGAACATTGGAGGAAAAGATTACGTTAACTTTCATAAGTGAAATTCGTGAAATTTTTTTATTAAAAATCAAAATTAATAAAATGAAAATTTTTATCACATAGATTAATAGTGTAAAATTTAAAAAAATTTCATAAATTTTTATATATTTATGAAATAAATATTTTTAATAAAAATATTGATAAAATTTTTATCATTAAATAAATATCGATTAAATTTTAATTATAAACAACATTTTGAATTTTTTTTTTACATATTATTAATTTTCACATTAAATATTAACAATCTATCAATTTAAATTTTTTTTAAAATTTTGATTTACTCATTTTTTATAATAACACACACGAATATAATACAAAAATATAATATAAAAATGATAGTTTAAAATTTTAATAAAATATATTTAAATTTTTATATTGATATAAATTATAATACATAATTTTTATATAAAATATAATATAAATTTTGATATTTTATATAATATATAAATCGTCGGCTCCACCTCAAATCACCTTTTCTTTTCTTGATCTTAGTCTTTTCGTGGGCAAACAAGGGGGCTCCACCACCATATCCATTGTTAAATTTCTTCTAGGGCTTTAAATATGAGCAGGTACCATGTCACCTCAAGGCAATAACAGCACCACCAACTTCCTAATCATTATCCCTGCAAGTTTAAGCCTTGCTAACAAAAAAAAAATTGGTGTTTTTTATAAAGAGTAAAAAAAAAATTATACAAATATTAAATTTTAAATAATAATTTTATTCGTATTATATGAATTAATAAAGATTTTAAATTTGAATATCGATTTTGACATATAATTTTTTTTTCATAAAATGAATAAGGGAACTTCACATTTATGTCTATATTTATGTCTTGATGTTTGAATTGGAATAATTTATCTGCTTTGAATTTTTGTAACAAAAAAAATGGAAATAATATCTTAAATGTCTGTCTAGACAAAGAAGGCCAACGGTAATTAACAATGACAATATAATGGACATCAATAGAAATCATTATTTTTTTATAAATTAAATAAGATATAAAATTGAACTCGAAATTTAATTCAAATTTTAATATTTATAATTTATTTTTTTATTCTTAAATTATGGTTCATTTATATATTAAAAAATCAAATTATTGGGCAAGATTAATGTATAATCCACTGGTTTTTTTTAAGTAAATTCTAATTAAATACAATTTCAATATTTTAATTTCACTTGGAATAATGAAGCCAAAGAAATAGCTTTAGCCATCCAACAACCATGCAACTTGAAAGCTATTGTTTGCTGGCTGAGGCATGAAGGTGATTGTTGAAGACTTGCCTTAATTTCCTCAAGTTTGACCTAACATGCCAACCTCCATCCTTCAAAATATGAGATTAAAGTGAAATTTGTCACAATATTATTGAATTTTATTATTTTATTCAAATTTATTGAAATTTGTTATTGTATTTTAATTTTTGTTGATTTTTAGAAAAAAAAATACTAGAGTTGAAATGTTTTATAAAATATTATGTTAATGCAAAAGAAAATTTTTGTCATTTTTTTTTCAAATTCATTGATTTTTTTGAATAAAAAGTAATTAAATTGAAATATTTCATTAAATATTTTATTAATGTAAATGACAATTTTTCATTAATTCTGTTATTTAAGTCCAAAAATCAACAAAATTAAAAAATATATAATAAAATTCAACGAATTTGAAATATAAGGTAAAATTTAATATTGATCCATAATACGCTGATAAATTTGACTTTAATGCCTCGAAAAATTAAAAAAAAATGACAAATGTCTATTGGATGCAGTAATTACGATTAAATGCTTAATTTAAAGCTAATTTTCATTCGGAAAAGTCTCGTATTGAGTACCAAGCTTAATTGAATATTGCTCTAAAGTAGAAGAGTTGTTGATAATATATTTAAATACAATTAATATTAAGATTTAATTTTTGAAATCTTAGCTAAAAAAAATAAAATTAATGAAAATAAATAAATAAATTATGTAATAGTCCAAACAAACGTGAGAGCTCACATCACTGTATTGTATTATTGTTGATGTAATACTGGAATAATGGAAAATATATAAATTAATACAATTCAATAATATCAAGAAAGTATGCCAAAAATATTCAAACTTTTTAAAAAATAATAAAGTTAATTTAAAAATATAATCTATCAATGAAACCTCCAACTAATTCTAAAATACAAGTAAACAAAATAACAGTAAAATATTTTTTATTCTTTTATAAATGTTGGAACGTTGCATTAATATATATGATCTAAAATAAGATATATCCATGTTGATTATCTGTTGGTGCGGAGCTGCTCTTTAGGAGTAAAACTTTGAAAAAAAAAAAAAAAAAAAGTAAATAAGCAAAAGTGAAGTTGTGAAATAGTATTTAAATAGTATTATTTATACATGTAAAATGAGAGATTTTGGATAATTTAAATTGTCCGATATTAACTTTAAAATTAAAAATGATTTGATGAATCGAGTTGAGTTATACGTTAATCATTTATTTTAAAAATTATAAGTTAACATATAAGAGAGTTTAGTGAGTAAGTTGATGAGATAATTGACCTAATGTGATCCCGTAAATTTAGATTGATTTGATACTTCAATTTGATTTAAAAATTAAAAATATTTTTACTTGCCTGCTAATTATTTTCAATAAAAAAAATCATTTTACCTTTTAAATCTAAAGCTACCCCTCGTATTATCCAAAGTAGTGTTATAAGTTTTGTCCGATTTAGAAGGAAAAGTTTTTTTTTACTCCAATATTAAATTTTGAAAAAATTATTATTTTTATGTTTTCTTTTTTGAATAAAAATGTAAATTATTTGAATATGACTTATAATAAATGAATCTTGAATTTTTATTTGTGATTATTGATAAATATATATATAATATGAGACCTCCAGCAACTGCTATATTATTGATTTGATCCCAGCTGCCATCAGTATTTTTATTTTTTTTGGCCAATCAGCTGCCATAATTTCGTTCAATTCAACGAAAGGCTTATCCCAGCAAAAGAGAATCTCAGTCTTCCCTTGTTTTGGTTCATTTGCTCCTTGGCCAAATTCCCGCTCCTTTTCATCCATTTGTACGTCAAGCCAGGCCGTTTCTCCATTTCGAAAGTTGTCCACGTAGAGGCGTTTCAGGATAAGTCGAAATTAAACTCATATTTAATATTAATAATTTATATATTTATTTAAATTCAGTTTAATTTGATATTTCAGATCTTAAAATAATTTTAAATTTAATTCAAATAAAAAAAAAACTTTTGGGCAATCCCCCTAGATTGTGCATGCTGGTTTCAAGGGGATGTCCACAAGCTAAGCAACTCGTACCATTTTTTTAGTTATGAGATTATAATAATATTATTATATCTCTCTCTATTTATTATATTAATTTTTTAATTTTTTAAAATGTATTTTAATAAAGTATATAATAGGATATCAAATTATTGGTGTATATATATATATTTTAAATAGATTTTAATTTTATTTATAAAATTAAAAAATTTTACAGTCAATATATTTAATAATTTCTCTAAATA